GTGGAGGGCAGGGGAGGGGGGCTTTTGGCATTTCACGCCAGCGCTTTCAACGACAAGGCCAGCGACTGGCCCTGGTTTCACCGGACCCTATTGGGCACCGGCACGTTCAAGTCAAACACATGGGGGCCGAGCAAAGTGCTTTACCACGTGGACACACCTTCACACCCGACCATGAAAGGTGTGCCTGGTCAATTTCAGTCGGCGGTGAGCGAGTGGTACGCCTGGGATAATGATCTACGTAAAAATGCGAACATCGACATACTGGCCTCCATAGACCCGTCCAGTTTCCCGGTCGGCACTGACCCGAACCAGTCCTGGTATAGCGGGTATTACCCACTCATTTGGTCGCATAGGAAATACAAAGCGATTTATTGTAACTTTGGTCACAACGATATGGATTACAAACATAATGTCAACACATCCTATACTTTCGCCAGCAGTGATCAAAATAGGTTTTTCTTTCAGGTCTTACACTATTTGGCTGAAAAATGATTATGATCAACATTATTTAGTAATGCTTGTTATCAATAATTGTGTATTTTCACCTTGATTTATTTTTATTTACTGTTAATAAAATGCTTAAACCATAATATACTTGTCATAATAAGCTTTATTTTCAATGTTAACAGAGTTGTGTAATTTTAGTAATATTTATACTATATTGAAATAAATTGCTGTATTTTTCGTTATGCGAGAGAGAGAGAGAGAGAGAGATGAGAGAGAAAGAGAGAGAGAGAGAGAGAGAGAGAGAGAGAGATTATCATAAATTTATATTATAAAATAGTTACTACACTAAAGTACTTTTTACAATAATACAACACAACATTAATAGTAAATAAAAGTATTAATGTCATTACCAGGTTTGTTATCAAAATGTACGTAAAATATCATACACTTGACCGACGAAATACCCGGATATAATTTCAAAGTTTAAATAATCTCATGATGATCCCTTACTAAGCTCTCATCAAAAGTAGACTTAAGTCATTATTTTTATATTTACAATTTAATTAATACTTAATTACATAATATTATTATGTACATGTTGCATGTTCTATTGGATTTTCAATTTACACAACTAACACAGTATTAATTAAACAACTATGATCAGTACACTATTATGCAGTACATACTGACGAGTGCCTCGTGAGTATTTGTTAATGCATTTACATTGTATATCCTTGATCAATTGCTCAAAAACTACTTTAAATTTATCAACAACAAAGGATGTTAGATCACAAGTTGCTTATAAGACGCACTGCAAGTTTGAAAATAAGTGCACCTGCTATTTTTTAATTACGCAAATTATGTATAAAATCCAAGTAAGTAATTCTAATAAATTTAATATAAATTATATTTAAAATCTCTTACATTAAACAAATAAATCAAGATGTGTATAATATTACACTTATTTACTTAAACCAATAGATGTGTAATAATACAATGTCTAGCCATTAAAATCCTGGGTAATCCTTAGGGCAGAGCTGTCCACCCCTTTCACTGCTCATACAAACACTTCAAAATTAATGATAACTAAATGGCACTAAAAATTGTATAAAAATCATTACTAAACACTAATTCACTGCACAAATTGCTACACAATCCACACCAACAAAACAATGTCTATAGCCTTACTAGCGTTAACGCTAGCGCTGAGCGCCGGTACGGGACAGGCATTCAACGTGCTGTGTCTATACGACGGCACATACGACGCCGCGCACATCAACTTCGTGCACGAGGCCATCAAATACTTCCCGATGGCCGGCAAAGACCACGGCTTTACCATACACTCCACCAACAAATGGTCCGAATTGAACACGAACAATTTGAAAAACTACCAAGTTGTTATGTTTTTGGACGCCACCCCTGGAGACGGTAACCAACGGCAAGCACTACAGCACTGGGTCGAGGGTGGCGGAGGGTTCATAGCTTTCCACGTGGTCGCTTTTAACGATAACTCCAATGATTGGCCCTGGTTCCATCAAACCCTGTTGGGCACCGGTACGTTCAAGTCCAACACGTGGTGGCCCACCCAGGTGCATTATAAGGTAGACTCGCCCAGCCATCCGGCCATGAAGGGTCTGCCGAATAAGTTTGCCTCATCGGTGAGCGAGTGGTACGCGTGGCAGCACGACTTGCGCCAGAATAAGGACATTGAGATACTGGCCTCCATAGACCCATCGAGTTTCCCGGTCGGCACTGACCCGAATCAGTCCTGGTATAGCGGGTATTACCCCCTGATTTGGTCGCATCGCAAGCATAAAGTTATTTACTGTAACTTTGGCCACAATAATATGGATTATCAGCGGAATGTCAACACGAGTTCTACATTTGCCAGCAATGATCAAAATACGTTTCTTTTCCAGGCTTTACATTACTTGGCCGGACAATAGGTTCTTAACCCGATGGTCACCCTATGTTTTGTTAAATTTTGTGACCATGTAATCAATTTTTTTATGTAAAATAAACGATTAATTAATTTCAAACATGCTCAATATAATTAATTGCACTTGTTAATAAAAATAACTTATAATTGACACTGATGCGACTTTGCTAGGTGGGTTTTGGCAAGGGGATTGTCAAAACAAACGCTCCCTCTGTAATACAAATAATATATCAATATTTACGTGAACCCCTAGCCAAAACCCACCTAGCAAAGTCGTATCAGTGTGATATGATAATATAATAAAAATTATTGGTGAGACAAATTTAAATATCTGGGGCTGATAGCCAGAAATGACCTAGTTATGGCTACTTATGTAATCTTGCGTATATTGTGTATAGCATTGAATTTTGGTAATTACTTATGAAACGCCACTTTTTAAAATTTTCATTCTAATATAAAAAGTATAATTTTGTATGGAATTTCAGTTTGCAATGTAAATAATTTATCATAGCTGATACAATTTTAATTAGAAGTTAATCTTATTACAATTAATTAAATATGTATTATTAAATTTTGTATAAATAAAATAAATAATGAAAATCAAATTGAAAAAATAAAAATATTATTAAGTTATATTATAAAAATTAATTAATACATTAAAATGTTACATTTATTAGTAATTTCACAAAATTATTTAGTTATCATATAATTATTGTAAAAATAATAATAAATATCAAAAAATACACTAGATAATAATTAATTGCCTTTTAAAAATAAGCATTTAGAAAATTTATACTTAAAGTTACAAATGTATTAAATTAAAAGTTTTATAAAACTTTTATTTTGACTGCATTTAGCTCTTAATTCCAGAAGGGATTGATGGCATTGAAGGCGCTGAAAATCCTTTAAACATTTCCAACGGGATCTATAAATAAATAAGTAATTATTTAAATATAAATCATATAAGTCATAATATAAAGCATATTACTAAAAGCATATTACTAAATGTATATTTTTAAAACGTAATTATCATATTTGTTTCAACTAAATTATTCTGTGTATTAATATAAAAATATTAACATCTACACAATAACGTCATATAATTACGTATACGGTATTTACTATCTTTACCTTATAATATTATTAAATAGCTTATTAAAAAATAAATGATAACTTATCAATGATAGAAATCACAAAAACAACTATAAATACTGCAATTATAAGAGAATAACTATTTTGTGCGATAAACAAGGTGATTAATAAATCTATTTTTAGTTTAACAAACAGCAGCAAAACATAATTTTATGCATAAAAGCATATTTATGTACTCATATTGTTTACGCACAAGAAATACAATAAGTTAATACATAAAAATGAATTAACTACCAGTACAATTAGCATGATCATAAACAAAATATGTAATGACATACCGGGAACACAATCGTCGAGTTCTTTTCGGTGGCGATTGTGGCCAATGTCTGCAAATACCGGAGCTGTAGGGCTGCCGGCGACTCACTTATCACATCTGCCGCTTCTTTGAGGGCCCGGGAGGCTCTCTGTTCGCCCTCCGCTGCGATCACCTGTACATCACATCATAAACAATAAATAAAACACCATCATACAAATTACAAATGTATATACCTTGGCCCTGGCATCACGACTGGCCTCAGCCTCGGCCGCCATAGCCCTTTGCATTTGGACCGGGAGGTGAGCGTCCTTACTGTTTAATTAAACACATTAATCAAGTAGAATACTAATGTACTTTACATAAAATAACCACGCTCTTACATTTCAACACGTTCAACTTTAACACCCCAGGGATTGGTGCCCTCATCGAGCACAACCTGCAACGTGCTTGAGATGGACGCCCTGTCCGACAATATGTCTGACAGCGATTTTGTGCCCAATATATTGCGGAGTGATGTGGCGGCCAATAGTTGGGTAGAGTAAGTGTAGTTCTCGACATTGCATACAGTGCTGGTTGGGTTAAACACCCGGTAGTAGACAACGGCGTCCACCGTTACGGTCACCGAGTCTTTCGATAGGATTTGTTGCGGCGGAACATTGAATGACACGGTTCTGTGGTTGGCATATAGCATCATGTTTGATTATTAATTGTTAATAGGGTGGTTATATTTGACCGTACCTGATATCAATGCATCGGTACGAATCAATGCATGGTATGATGAAAAATAATCCAGGTCCTCGAGCGCCACCCTTAACTAAAATGTAAAATTGTTTTATTTTAAATATAATGTACTGTACAGTATGTTTTAGCAAATTATTGTTTTACCTAAACGTCCCAAACGGAAAATAATAGCTCTTTCATACTCGTTCACCACCTAGTTCAATTAAATTAGGATACACAGTATGTAAATTGAGTTAAAAATATTAATTGAGTTTATTTGTATTAAACAATTAACTTGTTTTGACATAAGGTTGTAACTAACTAACTTATCTGGTTTCTACCATAATAACTAATTACAAAACTTCAAACAATACTTACTTTAATGCAAAAGAATAGCGAAAAGGGAAGGGTGCAGACAATGAGAAAAATTGAAAATATTTTTAATAACACTGCACAACACCCGCTACCAGCATCTTGCTCGCCTGTTGTTTATACCAGGTGTAAACATAAATACAAAATTATATTATACTCGTAAAATGACCATGTCTTAATAAAAAAAAACACAATACATACGATCGTATCCCTGATCTTCAATGGGAATAATATTGTCTTTTCTGTCATCCATTCTTTCATAGATTGTTTCATTCAAAACACTCATACGTTTGTTGTATTTGAAATGACAATACTTTTATACTGTAATAATAGTTTTGGCAGTAAATTATATCTAGATATAAATGAAACGAACAATAAAAGGTAATATATTGTTTTGATTAATGGCAATATTATTTTTGTTGTTACATTTAGCATATGAAATGTCATTGCAATTAAAAGTACGCCCCTTTAAATTGTTTGCTCACATAAATGTGTAGATAATAACAATATTGCTAAATAAATCAGATAAAAGTCTCTCTCTCTCTCTCTCTCTCTCTCTCTCTCTCTCTCTCTCTCTCTCTCTCTCTCTCTCTCCAACAGTTTTTGATTAAAAATATAGTACACAAAATGTATGTAAAAATAAAATATATATTATATTTATATTTTTCATGGTTTGTATTAAAATTGATGTCAAGAACTTCAAGAACTTTATTTTAAATGTAATATTATTTTTCTTCGTTGATTAGTCTACNCCTTTCGTTAAACCTAAAGCCAGAGACTTATTGGTGGCAAAGGAAAGGACTTTGGATAAACATGATGATAAAATTACTGAAAGTAAGTTTCTCTCTCTCTCTCTCTCTCTTCATATAATGCGTATAAAAATATAGTTAAGCAAATAGTATAAAAGTTTTCATGTTATAAAGCCTAAATTTATAATAATAATTTTAATTCATTGACTATTACAATAACATATGAACTGATGATTTTATAATTGTGAATATGAAATGGAACAGTAATTTCAAATTTTAGAATTTATTTTGTAATACTCGCTATAGAATTTATAAATCTGGCATGTATTAAATTGCTATTTAATTTAATTGCATAATTAATTAGAAATAAAATATTTGTAACATAAAAAAATTATATATACAATGATTCACACATTATGTTAAAAATAGCAATGATTTAAGAGTATGAGTAAAAAAATTGATAATCCGAAAAAATTTGATAATGATATGTTTATAAAATATAAAAATTGAATATAACTTTCAATGCGTTTAGTTAGTATATAACAACAAGTGCATTTGCCCAAACAAAAGGCAATCCTTGCATGATAAACAAAAAACTGATTAATTTAATATTGAAATATACATAAACAAGGTGACTTTATAGCTATTCGCATAGAAATTACTATTTTGTCGGTCACATTGTATATTGTAGACGTATAGCAAGTTCCGTCTTAGTATTGACATTGGAAACAACCGGCACGTTATTAAATGCATCATGATGATTTTTCATAAATTGTATATTGCATAAATTTTTATATAATATTAAATAAATTCATATATATTTATTTTTAAGTAATAAATTCAATCTGATCTTTATCTAACTAGATTAAAAAACAAAAATCTAATTTATAATTTTTAAAAAAGTTAATAGAAATACCATGATGAAATTGTAAATTGTATTTCTAAGGCGGGAGACAGTAATAATTTGCTTAATAATGTGTAGTAAAATATTTAATAAGTATTTTGTAAATAAATGTTAACTCTCATATAACTTTTGAAAATGTTTGTAAAAATTACAATCAAATTCAAAACAATATATAAAAATACAGACAATTTTGTATGACATTATCACGTTTGTTATAAGCAAGGAAATTTTAAACTCAAATACCATAAGACTTTTATATCTAGATTCTTATGAATATGTAACTAAACACTTAAACATCCGTTAAAATAGTCATAATTTTACGAATGAATATAGTAGTTAACTAGATATATAATATTTAACATTCTATCAAAACTCTCTTTTATTAAAAATAGTTTTAATCAGTTATTAAAATAGTGTATAACAATTTACAATAATGAATAAATGTACATTCATATTATGTTTGATGCAATTAATTGTATTGATACTACCATTAATGGCAACCAGTGTTTTGCCATCAAAAGTAAAGCCACAAAAATTGTCCAGAAGGCCATTACATTTAAATAGGACTAGAAATCAGTTAAAGAACCATGATAATCTTATGGACAATAAGTTATCGCCGGTAATGAACACAAACATCAAGGTGTTTGACACGAGCCAACTAACACGTGATGATCTCAGGCTTATAATTCATGCAAACGATGACAATTTGCTTCAGGAGTTGGGTGAAGAATCTTCGGGTAAATTCACTATTACTTGCATTTAATTGTTTTTTTGTAAGTTTTTTGCATTTATTTTTAGGAGATTTCGAGCCTTTCGTTAAACCTAAAGCCAGAGACTTATTGGTGGCAAAGGAAAGGACTTTGGATAAACATGATGATAAAATTACTGAAAGTAAGTTTCTCTCTCTCTCTCTCTCTTTCATCTAAAATACACTTATTATACGAATAGGGGATTGGGTTCACTACAAGTTTGAGAAGTCATACCTTTTTATCAACCGTACGGCCACTAAACACGAGGCCGAAGAGTTGTGCCATACGCTGGACGGCCAGCGCCGGGACGAGTCGGTGACACTGGCCGTGCCGTCCACTCCGGACGAGCAAAGGTTTATCAACGATTACTTATTCGCCATAAAACACGTGATGAAGAACGTATGGATCAAACAAAACCCGTATAACTACGCCAAGGCATTGGCCAACAGGACCAGTACCCGGAGCTCCCGTCGTGTGTATCGGCCGTACGCTAACTGGGCTGAAGGCAGGCCTACGCTGACAAAGCCGTGCGCACAGATCCGGTCGCCGTATACTGTGTTTGGCGACAGTGACGGCCGTATAGGCGCCAAATGGGAGGACGTGTCCTGTTTTCGGCGCAATGTTGTGCTCTGCGAAAGAGCCCAACAGTGGTCTCAACAGCAGTTCATACGAGTGGCACAGGAGTTGAACCGGGAGTTGGATTGGCTCAAAAACAGATATGGTTGGTTATACTTTTTACAGCATAATTATGTTAAATTATTATTAAATATATCTTAATTAAAACTAAAAATTATCTAATTGTTTTTGAACATTATTTTAAACATTCCTAGTTTAACAAATTCATTAATTTTTTAATTAACCTGCTACATAATAATCAGTCAAAGTGCCAGATTCAATTCCCGTTGGTTTCACATACATCCAACTGCCCCATCAGTTAGAGCCGCACCAAATATGGCCCCGATTTAAGTGGACAGACATCAGCCATACATACGCCGGGCTATTCATGCGTGTATTGGGCGGACAGTCGGCTCCTTTCGGTAAAGTGCAAGAGTCAGGTGCGCCCCGATTGGCATCCATTAAGAGCTATGGTCTGCACGGCGTGCCCGCAGTCGACACACACACCGAAGAGGTCGGCGCCGACAACCAGTGGTCAAACGGACACTACAATGGATTTCCCATTGCCTTCAAAGTGACCAAAAGTGAAGTCAGGCCTAAGAATATAGCGATCAAAGTGTGGAAACGTATTAAATAAACCTTAATTTTTTGGATTAATTATTTTAGCTATTCATTTATTTTTATTTAGATTATACAATTGTATAATTTAATGATTGTCAATTTTAAATTGTTAGTTTAACTAACTATAAATACAAAAATTATATATTGATCAATGTTACTAGCGCGTTTAATAAAGTATTTAATTTTGTATTTGTACATAAATTATTGTAAGTTGTTGATTTTAGATAAATACAAATATACAAAATAAATTAATTTATTAAAACGCTATATAAATTAAACTATGCCAACTATCAATTAAAACTATATAAGTTTAAATAAATTTTATTGTGATTATAAATCAATTATTAATCTCAATTGTCTCTAAAATCCAATCGATATGATATGAAGAGGAGATAAATATTGTGAGATTTCCGCCGCCATGTATTAGGGTTCCCATATGTATGGCCCGAACCCTGTATTTGTCCGTATATTGAACCAGACCTCCACCCGAATCACCCTTTAATGAGAGAGAGAGAGAGAGAGAGAGAGAGAGAGAGAGA